CTAATTTACGAATACCATATATGACAACGACAACCACTGTACTACAGACTCCTGGCTTGGAACAGGCACACAAAGAATTTCTAAGGCAGGATAAACGCGTTCTATCGATATGGAAAGGAAAATCATCGTTCATATATATTTATATTTTTTAAGATGTGCCTTGACGCAATGACTTAATTCATATTCAGTAAAATTAGGAAACAGAATACAATATTCGCAATTAGAATAGAGAAAGGAAACAGGGAATGTGTCAATGAGACAGCAACCTGATAATAAAGTGGAACACAGCCAAAGGACACCAATGGGTCAATAACGCAGCGAGAAAATCTCGCACCTTGAGGCGGACTCCAGCTGGCCCCTTAACAAAAATGTATTCTAGTTCAGCGAAATGAACGCCACACTAAAGTCTGAAACATACAAATAAACCAAAACTAAAAAAACACACAAGACTAACAAAGGCTAGTTCCTGACTTGGGACAGGCGCAAAAATGTGACAGGGTTAAACATGTTTTCCGAGATCTCAACCTCCCCCTAAAACTCTATAGCTAGCCAATGTGGAAAAAACAAACACACAGTTGAGTTTGATTTTTATAGGCCACTGTACGTCGCAATAAATATTCATGTATGTCTCAGGGCTCACACTACTTCAAAATCATAGGGAGAAGTGACTTCTCTTTTTGAAACTGGTAGGGAGAAGTGGTGAGATTTGAAAGAGAAGTGCTCGTTTGTTCACGGCGCTTCAATGTTTGGTTTTTACTATTATATAAAGGGACCTTAGTTACCTATTTCTTTTTTTTTAAATAGGTGCTTAATTCATACCCGAATCAATTAAAGTAACAGCTGTTTCAGTTTATGTCTTAAATAGTCATTTATAGTAGCACAATTATATAAGTCCTCTTGTCAGAACTACAAACTAATTATCTAGCACTAAAAAGAACTTTTTAATATCAAAAAGGAAAAAAAGTATCATAAATCAATTAAAATGCAATTAAAAAACTATTATGTTTATCATGTTTATCATGTTAATATAATTCATTGATTCTCATTAAAAAATATATATAATTAAACAAAGTTAAGCATCTTTAATCAATTAATTGAAACAATGTATTTACATGAAAATGTATACATTTAGCAAGGAGATCTAACCAAAAGTCTGTTAATGCGTGTGGAATGCGTAATTTTCACTTTTGGGATCATTATTCTTTTGTCAGCTGTTCAAATCAGGCGTCTGTAGTTCATGTAGTTATTATCGTAAGAATACAGGTTTCGGTCATAGCTGGTCCGCTTCCAATGAATCCCGCCTCCGATCTGTGTTCGTACAAATATTTCAATGGCGGAGGAAGAAAATTTACGAAAATAAACAATGTTTGACAAGCGATTCGGAAAGGAATATGACGCTTTTAGTGCAATTAATGGATCATGCATTAACTAAAGGCGTTTTTGATCACTTTCTAAAGAAGTAACAATCTTATTTTGCCGAAAATCAGAATGTTTTGATATACGATCTCAAGTATTAAGTAACGGAAATGAAAGATAATACTTCATAAAAAGTTGTTTCTTTGAAATAACATGCGACCAATCTGTAAAGTCAATACTTTCAAATCTTTTCTAAAGAAATAAATCCTTTATGTCTTTGCATTTCTTCATTTTTAAATGAAAAGTATGCTGTTTCATTGACTTGGTAAAAATGGGAAATTGTCGATGAAGAAAGCGACTGCAAGCGACTATTGTGAACACCAGGACCACTAGTTATCGCTTTTGACAGTCAGGCAAAGCGAAGTGACGGATGGGAAAGCGACTTTGTCACCCCAGTCCCCTGCTATCGTGAGCCCTGAATTGTCTTAAGAGCTAACAGGATTTCTCTTGATCACTTAATATAATTTTTGAGAATTCAATATGGAAAATATACAATTCAAAATGATAAATATGTTTAAAATTAATAACATTAGACAAATTTATCATGAATTATCTATATATTTACCTGCGTTACCTATTAAGGAAATTGTGCAAAAGTAAAAAAAAATCTGATCCAAGTCAAGAGCCTATAATCCATTGTTTTTCTAATTGTTGTCTGACATGTTTTGACTGTTTTCATTTCTTGTTGTAGTATAAATTAGGCCTTTTGTTTTTATAATTAGCTCACGTTTATTGATCCTATTCGGTAGGGGATTTGCTTATGGTTGAATGTTGTAGGGTAAACGTTTAAAAATATGTTATCAAATGGGAAGTCGCACACGTCTATCCGTACGCGCAGCCATTGATATCTGTAATTTGTCGAGCGTTTGTATTTTCTAACCAATTTAAACTTTCATATTGATTATGACACTTCTTACATGTACAAAAGAACTCAAATACCTCCAAGTGTATTTCAACTATGCAACAGAGATTATATGTTGGCTTATGGTAGTAGATCATTTTTTTAACATGTATATTGTTATCCACATATGACAACATGTTTTAATACATGCAAAATTCATATAACAAATACAATGTTTTCGCAACGAATCATACAGTATAAATAAACTGTTAACACAGAGATATGTCTCACCTATTTGTTATTTTGATAATGCAAATGTTGAAATTAAAATAGCAATACTTTAACATGTAAGTTATGCAAATATTCAAAGTCAATGAACCATGACTGAAGGTACAGGGCTAAACAATCTCCATGGAAATGAGATGTGCCAATGCTAATACAACTGCAAACCAAATACTACTGACTTTTCATTAGTCGTTCCCTTTAAACAAACCTAAACACAAACATTAACTTGTAAACTATGTAAAAGTTTCAAAGTCAATGAACCATAATTAGGGGGTGGGGTTATATAATCTCCATGGAAATGAAACTTGCAAATGCCAATACATTTGCATACCGAATATCATTGACTTAACATAAGTGGTTCATCTTAAACTGACCTAATCACTAACTAATACATGTAAACTAAGCAAAAGTTTCAAAGTCAATAGACCATGACTGAGGGGTAAGGACCAAATATTCTCCATGGAAATGAGATGTGCTAATGCTTATACAACTGCATACCAATTATCATTGACCTACCACTAACAGTTCCCCTTAAACTGACCTAATCACAAACTAATACCTACATGAAAACTAAGCAAAAGTTTCAAAGTCAATAGACCATGAATGAGGGGCGGGGCCAAATAATCTCCATGGAAATGAGATATGCCAATGCTTATACAACTGCATACCAAATATCATTGACCTACCACTAGTGGTTCCCCATCAACTGACCTAATCACAAACTAATACATGTAAACTAAGCAAAGTTTCAAAGTCAATAGACCTTGACTGAGGGGGCGGGGCCAAATAATCTCCATGGTAATGAGATGTGCCAATGCGAATACAACTGCATACCAAATATCATTGACCTACCACTAGTGGTTCCTCATAAACTGACCTAATCACAAACTTATACATGTAAACTAAGCAAAGTTTCAGTCAATAGACCTAGACTGAGGGGAAGGGCCAAATAATCTCCATGGTAATGAGATGTGCCAATGCTAATACAACTGCATACCAAATATCATTGACCTACCACTAGTAGTTCACCATGAACTAGATCTAATCACATTGTTGCCGCCTCCGACGCCAGAAACAGCATACCTATGTCTCGCTTTTTGACTCTGTCAAGGTGAGACAAAAAGTGTACAGATAACGAAGCATACACAATTTAAAAATAAAGACATGTGAAAACATTCATTTTTTTGTTTCTAAATAACACAAAAACCTACAGTCTTTACAAGTTTGATAAGTCATTACTATAATATTATCAAGAATGTATGTTTTAAAAGATACGAGGCATGGGAAACCTGAAATTTATAACTATCAAAAATAGTGAGCGTGCTTTTATCAGTGGCAAGATACTGTGGATTCATTTATTTTCGTGGGTATCAATTTGCGTGGATTGTTCAAAACTTGCATATTCGTGGATATTTGATTTCGTGGTTTTGCCAATCTCTGTAAACAAAGCCTATTAAAAATATGTTATTCGTTGAACATTTGAATTCGTGGTTCACCTTTACCCACGAAACCCACGAAAATTGGTATCCAACGAATAATAGTGAATCCACAGTAGTGCGTTTTTTTATATTTGCCTATAAAGATATAAAGTATTTAAAAAGCCTTGCAGTAAGTGATGAGTAATAAAGCAAAGAATATATTGACGCAAAATATTCGAAGAATAAATATTGGAATTTCCTAAAAATTATAAATTCTTTTCTGTCTGAACTCTGTGGTACACAGTGTGTTCGATTCGAACGTATCAACGTTCTGATACATTTGTATCGGGGTTACTGTAAATTCAGAAATTATTGCGAGGTTTTTATTATTGCGACAGAGTTGTAATAATTTAAACACGCATTTTGAAATATTTTATATGAACTAAACAGGATTTTTCTCAAAATCGTAAAAATTAAAATCGCATTTAAGTCTAAAATGACAAAATCGCAATAATAAATGCACTCAATAATTTCTGAATTTACAGTATACGGGGTGGAAGTGAGATGAACCAATGGGTATAAGTCTGCATCCAAATATTATTGACTTACCGTTAGTGGTTCCCCTTAAACTGACCTTTAACAAACTTTACAAATTGCTGTCCTTAAACAGCACATCTAAGTCTCATCTCTGCTACTTTATCCAGGTGAGACAAAAAACTTTAGACTTCTGAACTTGACCAACAATGCAGCTGCCAAAGATGACACACCAATAACATAATACACCCACAAAAAATAATTGCAGTAGGATATGTATTCCAAATAGGACTACTACACAAGAATTTAGGTTCACCATAACAACTGAATTTTAGCATCTGAAAAATTACCAATTTTTGTGACTTATTTCTTATTTATTTTTCAAAGGTCATGATAGCTAGTCAAATCAATATCAATCAGTGACTGCTTAAGACTTTTAGTTTTCTATCTGTTAATCCAGAAGAGTTCTATATTAAAATCAAAATACTTGAGTAAAGAATATTAACCTTTGAATAGCAAGTTAGAGCTAAGTGATAATTTTCTTGTCTAAAGTACTCATTCCCCTGTTCTTTCAAAATGTTGGCTTCTTTTTCTCTGATCTTCCTCTTTTCAGCTCTTTCCTTAGCATCTGCTTCTAACGTTGCCATAAAAGCGTCTGAAATTAAAAAGATGATCACACGATAAAACCAGGCATTTGTTAAAATTCTGAAGATAAGTGTTAGCACAATGATGAAACATTCAGCATTCCTCTGTTAACAGTTGAGTTAATAATATAATGACATCATAATAACAGAATTTAATCACAGGACTAATATTGAAAAACAAAATTACCCATCCATGATTTTCAATTATCAAAGAAATTCTTTATTGTTTTCAAATGAAATAGGAGACAAAAAATTGTGTATTATGTCAGAGTTGCCTATATTTGCACTGCTTTTGAATTTAGAAGGAGTAAATCTTTAAACTTTTCCCAAGCACTGAAAGTGAATTTTCCACAAAATATGAGTCAACAATTGAAGAAATACTGTTACAGGATAATTTCTTAATTTTTCTTTAAAATAAGCACTGTAACATTTACTTGTAATTTATTTATTTCAAAATGCAAAACAGATATACATTCTTTTAGAAAAATTATAACACGATATTGAAACAAGATTACTACATTGTGAGGAATTAAATTGTGTGTCACAATGTGTCATTGTGGTACGATAGTCAAATATGGTAAAAATGATCAAATCAAAATAACAATATAATATGGTCAACAACAAATGATGGCAAACAAACCTTCCAAGTCAGAGATTTTTCTGTCAAATGGTGTCAAAGAACTCAAAAGTTGCATTCCCAAAGTGTCATTGTGGTACAAAAGTTTTTAAAAAAGTCAACATCCCATAAATAATAATCTTGAAAATCAAAATGAAACAAGAAATGATTGTAACAGGATGCTGTTACAAAATCTCCCAAACAAAGTCCCCATAAGTATAAAACCTTAGGGACTCATTATTCATTCAATTCAATTTTTTTTAAATTGTATAAATTGAACATGTTGAAAAAATCTGTTCAAGGTCAAAGGTCAAGGTCATAATTGGCCATTGACCTTTTTACCTTAAGTAGGCTATATGTTCCCATGGTCATTACTGAAGACCCAATGTTTCTATCACTAACTGTTCTCAAGTTATAATCATTTGAAAATCCCATAGGGTTCTATAGTAAACCCCTCCCTTCTTTTGGTCCAACAAAGTACCCCTTTATAGACCCCCAATGCACAAACAAATCTCTCATGGCCCCACTAGACATGTTAGTTTAACATATTGTGGAACCCTAAGTAAATCTGACAAGCGGTTTTGGAGAACTGCTGTGGACAAGTTCAAAGAAGAAGAAGAAGAAGAAGAAGAAGAAGAAGAAGAAGAAGAAGAAGAAGAAGAAGAAGAAGAAGAAGAAGTCTTTAACCTTTGTTAGGGAGACTTAATATTATGAGCAACTACACATGATGGCAAACAATCTTACCAAGTATGAAAGCTTTCAGTAAAACAGTCTCAGTGAGTTGCATTCACAAGGTGTTAATGTCATATTACTAAAAAAAAATGGTCAAAATCGACCAACCCTTATTTACAGATTCGGACCCTAATTTATATGCTCCAACGCTATCTCCCTCCCCCCTCAGAAAAAATTTAAAAATTGGTAATTATAAAATTTGGTGTGATTGGAAAAAATAACTCTTCTTTTAGCATATCCAAAATTGCTGTGATCTGAAAAAAAGCTCATCCTGTAGCATGTCCCAAAATCATCTAGGTCTAATTTGCGATATTTGTAAAAGAGTTTTGGTGACCGCGAATGATAATAAACAAATGACTAGTGTGCTCGCAGTTCGGTTGATGAAATGTAACCATAAACCTGATATACAAACGTTCATGACAGTTTCCAACTCAGTAACATTCGAACAACGGTTAAAAGAACTTCATAATAAGATCAATTGAAGAAAAAACACTATAGGCTTTAAAGAGCCTGTGTAGCTCATCTAGGTCTATGTGCATCTTCAACAATGGGCACTCTCCGACAGATAATAGGCAAAAATGAAAATTTGGTAAAAATCTTCATTAAAGAGCAAAACTCCAACAAGGAGCAGAAGGATGATTTTGGCTATGTTGACTTATTTGTAGATCTAGTCTTGCTGAACATTTTTGCAAATTTAAGTTTCTATCTGTGCTTTATTGTTTTTTAAATATTAGGCAAAATGCAAAAAATTTATAAATATCGCTATTAAAGGGTAACCCTCCAATAGGAGTAGCCTGACGATTTCCAAATTGGTGACTCATTTGAAGATCTTGTATTGCTGATCATTTTTGCTATTTAAAGTTTCTCTATTTATTGTAATTTTCAAGATAATAGGCAAAAAAGAAAAAAAATGTGAATTCGTGATTTAAGGGTAACAACTCCTTTAAAAAGTTGTCTTACAGTTTTGATGTAAAACACATACTGGAACATGAGATTTAAAGAATTACTAATCTAAGAATTCAAGTATATGAAAATATTCATGAGTACTGAACAAAACATTACCGGTAATTCACATATGCGCGTTGTGTCTGAGTCAATTATCAGTGTTGATCGGTCGCTAGTTAAGTATTTTTTTTATAATTAAATTCTTAGGTTACTAATTCTTTTAAATAAATTGAATTTTAAATGGAAATAAAAGAACAGAGTTCCAATGTCGCCTGCATTGCACATATTTTTTCTTTCCAAGGTACAAGGGCAATAACAGAAAAAAAACCTTTTTTTGCGTTCTTTAAAACTTTTTATTAATATCTTACAGAAATGAAGACTTCAGAGCAAATGCAGTGTGATTTCCATTATAATTAATATTTCCAAGGGCATAACTCGTTAAAACTAATTGATCAGCTCTTATTTTAGAAAGTGTCAAAGACATTGCTGATATAAACCTATGATATATGTTTCATCAAGTTCTGGCAATAATAGTATTCATGAGAGTGCTGGTGTTGCAATTTTCCATATAAATGGTTAAAAAAAAAAAAAAATCTCCATATAATCAATATTTCCAAGGGGCATAACTCTTTTAAAAATTATTGATCGGCACTGATTTTTGAACTCGTCAAAGACATTGATGGTATAAACCTATAATATAAATTTCATAAAAATCTGGCAAGAATTGTACACATTAGAGCACTCATAAGGCAATTTTCCAAAAAATTAATAATTCGAAGGGACATAACTCTTTTAAAAATAATTGATCGGCACTGATTTTCGAACTTGTCAAAGACATTGCTGATATAAACCTATGATATAAGTTTCATAAAAATCTGGTAAGAATTGTACAAGTCAGAGCGCTAACAAGACTGGACGGACACCCGGTATATCTATGTCCGCCGCAACGCGTTGCGCAGGGGACAATAAAGTAGAAAATGAATAGAATTATAGCTTTATTCTATGCATTTTCAATTTGTTTATATCATACGTCATCCAAAAGGACTTGACAACACCCATTGCTGTATGATGTAAAAGAGTGAAGTTATCAGTTTTATTTCACATGTGAAATTATAGGTTTTATTTTTACTGTGTAATCACGGGTTTTTCACTGCAACCAATGTAAAGAAAAATGCTATTTGACAGGATTTTTGAGCCAATTAACACAGTACAGTAAACTTTCGTTATCTCGAAATCAGTCAAGACCAGAGAAATATTTTGAGATACCCATAATAAGATTCAAACGAATACTGGAAGTTTGACAGACCGATGGACACAACTCTTGCTTAGCTTAGTAAGGCATAAATAAATCCAAATATATATGGGTCGGGATCAATATTCTGGTTTGAGATCAAAGAATCTGTTTGTAATTGTCTTTTATTAATATAATAAAAAAAAAATTTTTTCTCTTTGTTATTTCTTGTACAATAACAATTTTTCCTGTGGTTTTCGGCAGAGAAAATATTTTTTTACATTGTTTCAAAGGCACGTTGAAAGAAAGCAACATAACCCTTATACATGTATAACATACAGCTTAGTAAATCAGTTTTTAGAAAATTTAGATTTCTTGTCATTTTCTTTTTCTGCCAGAGAATATAAAAGATTAAAGACGCTGATTGAGTAGTTTTTCGTTTGCTTCATTGTATATATATGTAAAAATGTCACCCACTCTCCATATTCTGGTCTGAGATCGAAGTATTTGTTTGTAATTGTCTTTTATTATTATAATAAAAATATCATTTTTTTGGACTCTTTGTTATTTCTTTGTACATTAACAATTTTTCCTGTGGTTTTTCCGCCAAGGGAATAATTATTCTACATTGTTTCAAAGGCATGTTGAAAGAAAACAATACAATGCTTATATAACATACAGGTTAGCAAATCAGATTTTAGAAAATTTAGATTTCTAGTCCTTTTCTTTTATTTCGATCTTTTTCTGCAAGAGAATAAAAAAGATTAAAGACGCTGGTTGAGTAGTTTTGAGTTGCTCACTTAATCCTCACTTTATACACAACCAAGCTCACTAATGTATGATTATGGTTAACTATTTATAAAACATTTTAAATAATTTTAAATAATTTATAACAATGAATTACTTATTTATTATCTTGATTAGAGAAAATCTTAGGCGAACACTCGCGGGAAAAGAATGTCATAAATCTATACAGTGGTCATGATCAATGCCCTGACATTTAAGTACAGCTAGGTGTATTGTCAGATAAACTTATCAGTCCATTTAAATCCTGGAGGTCATAGTTTGACATGTGAGATGTGTATTGCTTCAACACAACGAACGTAATTTAAATGCTTTGTTAACTTTGGGACTGTAAATTTGGTTCGATACAATTGAAATTTCAACTTGTCAGGATTTGTTATACATATTGTATGGAACAAAGTTCTGAACCACAGGGAAAATATTGACTCATCGGAAATTTTTAGTCAACCGGGTTCCAGGCAATGAGAGTTAACAGTTTATATAAATGAAGCTGAATTTTAGATACTTGGCATCTAATGAAACAATAGGATTGATTTTATTTGTAAATCAAACAATGACTGACTGATATTTTATTACAAACCTTGGTTTACTGGCTGATTAATTCCATGGTTTTCTACTGGAGTGATACCTGAGGATTCATTTTCATTCTTGTTAATAACAGTCTTATTGAAACCTGAAAGTAAATATTTTGTTTGCTACAATGTATATTAAATGATGTCAGTTTTTAGAAAATAATAAATGTTCAAAAAGAGGGGCGAAAGATACCAGCGGGACAGTCAAACTCATAGATCAAAAACAATCTGACAACGCCATGGCCAAAAATAAAAAGACAAACAGACAAATAATAGTACAGATGACACAACATAGAAAACTAAAGACTAAGCAACACGAGCCCCACCAAAAACTGGGGGTGATCTCAGGTGCTCTGGAAGGATAAACAGATCCTGCTCCACATGTGGCACCTGCCACATATGTTATTACAAATCCGGTAAATAGTCTAATTCGGTAGGTCACATTCGTGAAAAGGGAAGGGTATTGTAGTTACGACATAAGGAACATATCTGATATCATCTGTGAAACGGTTATTCCATAACTGTCAACCAACTCGTGATGGCATCCGTAAAATTTACAACGGGATGATTTCAACTTCACCATTTGGAACTCTTGGTTTAATAGCTTCCTTGTGAGCAGCAATCCTCTATCAAGGAAATCATGATAGGAAATATAAAATGCTCCGCTGGGCACAGCTTGATACAACCGCAGAAGTTGAACCCTGAACAGTTGGGGCAAGTATGGACACAACATTCAAGCTTGATACAGCACTGAATTTGGGTTGTGATTAAATATTTGACACAGCACAGGTTTCTGACACAGAATGAATGTGGTCTAAGAACTTAAATTTTTTAATTTATCTATTCAAACCATATCATTATTATTTGCTTTTATATATAAATCAGAAATAACCAATTTTAAAGAAAAAAAAATCCCCCCCAAAATTTTTTGAACCCCCTTATGAGTCATCACCCCCAAAACTCAATCCCAGCCTTCCCTTTGTAGTATGCAGTACAATTTCAGAGAGATTCATACACTTGAACACAAGTTATTGTCTGGACACTAGAAAAATGCTCCGCTGAGCGCAGCTTGATATGACTGCAGAGGTCGAACCCTGAACAGTTGAGGCAAGTATGGACACAACATTCAAGGTTGATACAGCACTGAATTTGGACTGTGATTAAATATTTGACACAGCATAGGTTTCTGACACAGAATGAATGTGGTCTAAGAACTTAAAAAATTTTAATTTACCTATTCAAACCATATCATTATTATTTGCTTTTATATATAAATCAGAAATAACCAATTTAAAATGGAAAATTTTAAAGAAAAAAAAATCCCCACCCAAATTTAGGGCAATTACCCCCAAACTCAAACCCAGCTTTCCCTTTGTGATATGGAACCTTGTACTACAATTTCATAAAGATCCATACACTTACACACAAGTTATTGATAGAAACTAGAAAAATGCTTGTTTTTTGCCCCTTTTTGGCCCCTAATTCCTAAAATTTAGAGGCAATTACCCCCAAAATCAATTCAGCCTTCCCTTTCTGGTATGGTACCTTGCAGTACAATTTCAGAGAGGTCCATACACTTGAACACAAGTTATTGTCTGGAAACTAGAAAAATGCGTATTTTTGGCCCCTTTTTTGCCCCTTATTCCTAAATGTTTTGGGCAATTACCCCCAAACTCAATTCCAGCTTTTCCTTTGTGATATGGAACCTTGTAGTACAATTTCAGAAAGATCCATAGACTTACATACAAGTTATTGTCCTGAAACTAGAAAAATGCTTGTTTTTTGCCCCTTTTTTGGCCCCTAATTCCTAAAATTTAGAGGCAATTACCCCCAAAATCAATCCCAGCCTTCCCTTTGTGGTATGGTACCTTGCAGTACAATTTCAGAGAGATCCATACACTAACAGACAAGTTATGTCTGAAAGTTACAAAAATGCTTATTTTTGGCCCCTAATTCCTTAACTCCTGGTACCATAACCCCCAAAATCAATCCCAACCTTCCTTTTGTGGTATTGAACCTTATGGTAATATTTCATAGAGATCCATTCACTTAAACTAAAGTTAGAGTGCGAAAACCAATGTGTCTTCGGACGACGACGACGACGACGATGACGCCAACGTCATTCCAATATATGACCACAAACTTTTTTTGCGGACGTATAAAAATGCTTATTTTTGGCCCCTTTTTGGCCCCTTATTCCTTAACTGTTGATATCATAACCCCCAAAATCAATCCAAATCTTTCTTTTGTTGTATTGAACCTTATGGTAAAATTTCATAGAGATCCATTCACTTAAACTAAAGTTAGAGTGCGAAAACCAATGTGTCTTGGGACGACGACGACAACGACACGCCAACGTCATACCAATATACGACCACAAAATGTTTTTGCGGTCGTATAAAAAGCCATAAGTCAGTTGGAATGTTGGTGAATTGGTGATTTCCTTTTGCAGAACCTCAATGTAAAATTTACGTCAAACTATAATGATATTATTAGCAGCTTTATCAGCCGAGACAAAAACAAATTCCTTGGCTAGTTTTTTTAGTTTATGTTTGATACGAGAAATAGGATTTTTATGGTTGTTGTTAAGAGTAAAATGTTCTTAAAAATGTTGTATACGTATATGAACTATCTTCATTACTGAATTAAAAAAAGAGTCCAAAGATTTTTTGTCAGCTTTTTCCCGTTTTATCCATTTCAAACAGTAAACACGAAGTGAGTCGTGGATGATATTACGACACTCATTCCAATTAATAATTGACGGGGACGATATTTAGGTCCTTTACTGAGGAATGATTTTAACTCTCGGTCACGAATGATGTTAAGGTCTCCTGTTATAACATGGGAAATGGGGCCATAAGTGTATTCGGAATTACTACAATTACATGACGTAGGTGTATTTTCACTGATATTTACATCTTTACAGACTTGGCTATAATTAAACACAAATTTCTGGGTAGATTTCTTGTAAATATATATAACAAATAAGAGGGACTTCAGTATTATCAAAATATCCAGGAATTTGTTCTTTAACAGAATGGTTGTTAAAAATACCGGCAATATTTACAAAATCAAAACCTTTATTGACATACTTTAAATAAAATGTTTTTTATGATCTTCAGGGCAATCAATTTTGGGAAATAGTTTAGAATAACAATATGCCATTATAACTTGAACGATTTCATACGTAGGACTGCAATATGAAATTGTGTTGCAATCCTCTAAAATTTTATTTAATTTATTTATAGGTAAAGAACAGAGCTTGGTTAATAGATAATGTCTGCCGTTGTTTTTTGAAATAGAAATAAGGTCCGAAATATTTGTTTGATTGGTCCGAAATTTTCTTTGATTGCGATTTTTTCTACACCCATGAGAACGGTTTTTACGATCAGTTTTAGAAACTATATCCAAAATGTTAACAGAATCGGTTCTTGATATATTACCAATTCCCATGATATCATCATTAAGACCGAGAGGGTAGACTGTCTGTAATTTTTTAATCCAATTTAATTCAATTATTTTCCGTGATCGTACAAACTTTGAATGAGATTCACCAGGCTGCTTATTTACTACTTCTAAAGGTTGAACTGTTAAATATTTAATAGGATGATTGTGCTTTTTAAGATGTTGATAAATGATACTTTTGAATTTATTGGGTCTTTTAAAACGATACAGGTGTTCTTGCATGCGTTTAGATAAATATCGTCCAGTTTCACCTACGTACTGAATACCGCATCCCGGTTTGTTTCATGTGAGTAAATAAATAATACTGTTTGTTTTTCAAGTTATATCAGTTTCAAAATTTAAAGAAAATGTGCGACCATTAAACGTAGACCTTACCGTATTGTTTGTGGAAAGACAGGGACATGTAAGTCATTTTTTGGCATGACACTTATCGATAGAAGGGTAACCACGATTTTTATTGTTAAAAATGTTAGCGATGGTAGTATTTTTAGATAAGCGATTTTGAAGATTGAGACGTGCGGATACCCTTTGAACGAGTTTAGTATTTAATATTTTTCCATTTCTAAGCTTCATATTTGTTTTTGTTATGTGGATTTTATTAGAAAGGAGCAAAGACTGGCGTCCAGAATATGAACCAGCACACAATAAATTTAATTATGTGAATATGATAAAACTGTTCGGCTAAAGACGTCAAACGCTATCCGTCATAAATTACCCGAAAAATAAAACAAAAGATAGGGTATATCAGGGTAGCCTAATATTCCTAAAGTAATGAACATAGAGAAGTTCTCGCTCGGACACACACTCCATAATCTAGTTTATTATAAGAGCATAAACCTGAAGCACGGGGAGGCACTCTACTGTCTCCACACGGCACTAAAGACAAACTCTGTAAAAAATAAAATTGAGAATGGAAATGGGGAATGTGTCAAAGAGACAACAACCCGACCATAGAGCAGACAACAGCTGAAGGCCACCAATGGGTCTTCAATGCAGCGAGAAACTCCTGCACCCAGAGGCGTCCTTCAGCTTGCCCCTAAACAAATAAGTATACTAGTTCAGTGATAATGGACGTCACACTAAACTCCAAATTATACACAGGAAACTAAAATTAACAAGAGTGCACACGCTGAAATGTCTCGCCTTCTTTACTAATCATTGATATTATGTTGATAGTCCTAAATATAAAGCTTTATTACAGCTGTCACATAAACTTAACATTAACCAAGTAAACTAAACATTGACCAATGAACCATGAAAATGAGGTCAAGGTCAGATGAACCATGCTAGGCAGGCATGTACAGCTAACAATTCTTCCATACAACAAATATAGTTGACCTATTGCTTATAGTTTAAGAAAAACAGACCAAAACACAAAAACTTAACACTGAGCAATGAACCTTGAAAATGAGGTCAAGGTCAAATAAAACCTGCGTGACTGACATATAGATCATAAAATATTTCCATACACCAAATATAGTTGAACTATTGCATATAGTATTAGAAAAAAAGACCAAAACTCAAAAACTTAACTTTGACCACTGAACCATGAAAATGAGGTCAAGGTAAGATGACACCTGCCAGCTAGACATGTACACCTTACAATCATTCCATACACCAAATATAGCTGACCTATTGCATGCAGTATTAGAAAAAAAGACCAAAACTCAAAAACTTAACTTTGACCACTGAACCATGAAAATGAGGTCAAGGTCAGATGACACCTGCCAGCTAGACATGTACACCTTACAATCATTCCATACACCAAATATAGTAGACCTATTGCATACAGTATAAGAAAAACAGACCAAAACACAAAAACTTAACTATAACCACTGAACCATGAAAATGAGGTCAAGGTCAGATGACACCTGCCAGTTGGACATGTACACCTTACAGTCCTTCCATACACCGAATATACTAGACCTATTGCTTATAGTATCTGAGATATGGACTTGACCACGAAAACTTAACCTTGTTCACTGATCCATGAAATGAGGTTGAGGTCAAGTGAAAACTGTCTGACGGGCATGAGGACCTTGCAAGGTACGCACATACCAAATATAGTTATCCTATTACTTATAATAAGAGAGAATTTAACATTACAAAAAATCTGAACTTTTTTTTCAAGTAGTCACTGAACCATGAAAATGAGGTCAAGGACATTGGACATGTGACTGACGGAAACTTCGTAACATGAGGCATCCATATACAAAGTATGAAGCATCCAGGTCTTCCATCTTCTAAAATATAAAGCTTTTAAGAAGTTAGCTAACGCCGCCGCCGCCGCCGCCGCCGCCGGATCGCTATCCCTATGTCGAGCTTTCTGCGACAAAAGTCGCAGGCTCGACAAAAATGATACAAGACTAACAAAGGCCAGAGGCTCCTGACTTGGGACAGGCGCAAAAATGCGGCGGGGTTAAACATGTTTTTTGAGATCTCAACCCTCCCCTTATACCTCTAGCCAATGTAGAAAAAACAAACGCACAACAGTACGCACAGTAAAACTCAGTATAAGAGAAGTCTGAGTCCGATGTCAGAATAGGAAACAAAAGAAAATAAACAAAATGACAATTATACATAAATAACAACAGACTACTAGCAGTTACTGACATGCCAGCTCCAGACCTCAAAACTACTTATCATATAATAAATATCACATTTTAAGTGTTCAGATACAGAAACTTTTCTTTAGGTGGATAATTACTCATCAATTTGAAAATAAACAAAATGACAATAATACATAAATAACAACAGACTACTAGCAGTTACTGACATGCCAGCTCCAGACCTCAAAACTACTTATCATATAATAAATATCACATTTTAAGTGTTCAGATACAGAAAATTTTCTTTAGGTGGATAATTACTCATCAATTTGAGGTGCTCCTGTATTGGAAGAGAGATTCTCAATACAGTTACAGAAAAGAATGAAAACTGACGTAACTCTCCCCAATCCCATGTATCCCCATTGTTTACCGTGAAAGTTGACCTACAAATCAAAGCATTGCATGTTTGAATCATCTACAGCAAACATAATTATGTTTTTAAATAAACAAATACCGATTTCTAAATCATACATGATTTCTGTGAATGATTTTAATAATGAGGAAAAGATATCCCTGCTTCTACCTAGTGTGGAATTCCAACCATGATGTCACTAGGTTGGATATTTTTAGAATATTTCGTAATACTGATTTTTCCGGATTGTAAAAGAAACGTAAATAATGTTAAGGAGAGCTCAAGATACGATAATTTCACGAGATACAGAAGGCAAATGTGTTAAAAAGTGTTTAAAGTCAATCTAGCTGTTCATTTGTGTGTCTCCTTCTCCTCAATTCGGTATGAAATTTTGAGGTGTTTTCCCAAACTATAAAAACAAAATGAGTGACGTGAGGGGCTTGGAAGTCAGGCCAGCCACATAGGGAATTGACGGCTTGAAGCCGTCTTTCCCAAAAAATCATCTTTCAAGGGCAATAACTCCTAAAAGGAGTTGGTTGAAAATTTCAGCCATGTGGTGACTTATTTGTTTATTTTGCCAAACACTTTTGCTTTTTACAATTTTTCTCCATCTAATATAATTTCTGCAAAAAAAAGAGTAAAATTCTTCCAAGCGCAATAACTCATATAAGGGGTCAATTGATGATTCATCCAAGTTAACTCATCAGAAGATCTTACTGGTCTGGTCATTTTTAATGTTAAAAATTTCTCTTATAAACCAAAAACTGCAAAGTTTGCAAAATTACATTTCAGGGGCAATAACTCCATAATGGGAAGTTCCATTCTTCTGGTCAATTTAATCCCTGTCAGATTTGCTCTAACTGCTTTAGTTTTTTTCAAATATAATCCAAAAATGTTGAAATTTATTAAAAATTGATATTTCTGGGGTAATAACTCCATTTTTCAGAAAATGTTCATAAATTCATAACATATGATATCTGTTTACAAGATATGAATTCGAAGTATTCAGGTCTTCTACCCTCTGAAATATAAAGCTTTATGCAAAGTACTAACACCTCAACTGGATTATATATGGGAGTATCCCTATTTCTTGCATTCTACAACATAATTCAGACCAGACAAAAAATTATGTTGAACTTGAAGTGGTTCCACTTTGCAAGTCCCTCCCCCTCTCTTTGAAAGGGAGGGGGAAATCCCTAGACTAGAAATGATCCTAGATATTTCTTCAAGTGTTACCTGTTTTAGTCTTAGGAAGGCCATCTTCATCTTTATGTTCATTGACAGCCTTCTTTTTACTAATATCATCAATCAATTCATCAGCTTTCTTCATTGCTGTAGACACATCTTGACCCTTTCCATATTTCATCGTTTTCACCAGATTTTCTATAAATATATATATATGTATATTTACATATAATCTTAATATATAGATATAAGAAGATGTGGTATGAGTGCCAATGAGACAACTCTCCACCCAAGTCAAAATTTATAAAAGTAAACCATTATAGGTCAAAGTACAAAAAAATGTACGGTTTTCAACACGGAGCCTGGGCTCACACCGAACAGCAAGCTATAAAGGGCTCCAAAAATTACTAGTGTAAAACCATTTAAACGGGAAAACCAACGGTCTAATCTATATAATAAACTGTTAACACAGAGATATGTCTCTCCTATTTGTTACATGTTGTTGTATTTTGATAATGCATATATATGTTGAAATAAAAATAGCAATACTTTAACATGTAAGTTATGCAAATATTTAAAGTCAATGAACCATGACTGAAGGTACAGGGCTAAACAATATCCATGGAAATCAGATGTGCCAATGCTAATACAACTGCATACCAAATACATTGACTTTTCATGTGTCGTTCTCTTTAAACAAACCTAAACACAAACATTAACTTGTAAACTATGCAAAAGTTTCAAAGTCAATAAACCATAATGAGGAGGTGGGGTTATATAATCTCAGTGGAAACAAAACTTGCAAATACATGTACCAATACTTTTGCATACCAAATATCAATGACTAAAGATTAACGGTTCATCTTAAACTGACCTAATCACAAAGTAATACATGTAAACTAAGCAAAAGTGTCAAAGTCAATAGACTGTGACTGAGGGGTAAGGACCAAATATACTCCATGGAAATGAGATCTGCTAATGATTATACAACTGCATACCAATTATCATTGACCTTCCCCTTAAACTGATCTAATCACAAACTAATACATGTACATGAAAACTAAGCAAAAATTTAAAAGTCAATAGACCATGACAGAGGGGGTGTGGCCAAATAATCTCCATGGAAATGAGATAATCCAATGCTTATACAACTGCATACCAAATATCATTGACCTTCCACTAGTGGTTCCGCAGAAACTGACCTAATCAAACTAATACATGTAAACTAAGCAAATTTCAAAGTCAATAAACCATGACTGAGGGGGTGGGGCCACATAATCTCCATGGTAATGAGATGTGCCAATGCATATACAAATGCATACCAAATATCATTGACCTACCACTAGTGGTTCACCATAAACTTGACCTAATCACAAACTAATACATTGTTCACGCCGCTGTCGCCGACGTCGGAAACAGCATACCTATGTCTCGCTTTTTGACTCTGTCAAGGTGAGACAAAAAACGAGAAACACTTACATGTATGAACCACATCAACAACAATGCATACATGATTTTTTCTATTTATGTCCAATTGGTCATCAATGGTCATAGTCTTGTGTACATTGTTCCTAAATATAAGTAGTATACATGGTACATGTACATTTGTGTATATATGTATATTCCCAATGGTTGGTTACAACACTTAAACATGTTAAACTAAAGACACCTAGGAGCCTGTATCACTGACCAGGCAAATTTACCCCATTAATCATTTTATTACTTACAATGTAACAGATCAGGATAAACAATTATATATTTATCTACAAATGTTTCTTATTTTTTCAGGAGATTCTGTTGTTCTGTCCAAATTTTTGTTATTTTGAGGATTCTTTGATACCTTCCAAAAATAAATCTCATGAAATATGAAATTAAAACTTTATAAATTTGGTGCATCCAATTATTCCAAAACATATTTCTGGATTTAACTTCATAGGAATGCTCAAAATCAAAATTTTAAAAGCCTGGAACGCATAATCAGTCAGGGATATAACTCTATAGGTTATTAGAGAAAATATCTTGCATACTGTGTTATTACAGATACTTTCATGAGTTGTCTACTCTTTATTCCTTAAATTTTCTAAATCTGTAGTAATAATTTTTAGTGGGCACTTGGGAATTCTTGAAACTTTGCACAGACACTAAATACATAGCTTTGATATCTAATTTTCGAATTAAATTAATACATTTTTCATCAACCATGGTAAATCAATGAGACAAGGCTTTTAATGGATAAACTTATCTGTAATAACAAAATTAAGGCTTAGTTATTATAGGCAAGTAACTTATTATATGAGACACTTGGGAATTACTGGGAATCTTGCACAGAACCTCATTACATGCTCTGATCATTATTTCTTACAATAAATTAAAAAACATTGTGATTAAGAATGATCGATGTACAAATGTATGTCTGAGCAACGGCTTTGAAGTGATGTAGAGAAGCTGTAATAACACCCTTTAGTTATTACAGGCAGGGATGGGCACGATTACTGACAAATGTAATCGATTAATAATCGATTACTTGAAGGATTTTTGTGTAATCGATTAATAATCGATTACTCTGATTTTTGTATGTAATCGATTGCAATCGATTACTTTAGCAAAAGTAATTACATTACTTTTCGATTACTGTCAATTACATGCTACAAAATTACAAATTAAATAAAGTAAGTTAAACACAAAGTCAATTATGTTGTTCAATGTATGTATAGTGGAAATTTTGAACTTTACAAAAATAGCATTTAAAGCATTGTTTCCAAATTTTATGTTGACAGTTGTTTTCTAGATGGAAGCTCTTACTGTCTAAGGATCCAAAATATTCAAAAATTCTAGAAATTTTGGTTTTCAATATGAATGATTGGTGATAAAGTTCTTGCAATGGCATCACATTGCATCAATCACTTTTTTTTATATTTTAGGTTATTATCTCCATATTTTTGCAAATTTTTGCTGTCATACTGACTAAAGTTAAGTTTTTTGTTTTTACTCATTATTAACAGCTATATTTGAATATAGTTCATTACAATGTTGAAAGTTTACTCTGAAAAAAAAACTATAAAAAAGTAGAATAATTAATTAGTTCAGCTAATTTTAGAGATGAAAATTTATGATTTGTAATTACATGCATGAATTAATCCTTTTGTTTTGACAACCTCCCTAATTACAGGCTATAATACTGCCAAATGGAGTACAATTATAACCTGGGGCAATATAATGTAAATCTCCTCTTAATTAGACATAATTGAAATCAAAACAAAGTCTTCATCTTATTGACTAGAAGTCTTTGTTCATCTGATTAGTAAAGACAAGAAGTTTGTTGAGAATTTTGTATTCTCATTTCAAAATTATAAACAATTTATATTTTTTGTGCAAAAATTGGATACATGTATCTCTATTTCTGAACAAGAATCTTAATGCATAGCCATTGGTTCATTGTCAAAAGGATTTCGTGTACTTTGTAATTTTTATGTCATAACATTATAATGAATGAAATGTTTATCTATTCTAAGCTAAAATTCCAACTATTATTGAAAATTATGCTTTAAGGAATTTTAATACAAATAAGCTTACTACTGCAATATAGTCATATTTTAACTTAAGACTTATTTCTTATTTAAATCTATTTTCTTTTTTTGATATAAAAGGTCTTAAATTATTGACCAGCAAGAAAAGTCATTTGTTTCAAAAGCTAGATATACAGTATAATTTGATAGATCTGGTTGAAGCAGCTGGAGCCAATAGATAGAAACAAGGCATTTGATAAACTCTTAAGTCATATCAATACATTTTATTTTTATCTGTACTATAAAGTGATGAATACATACATACTTTCATATAAAATAGATTATATTTCATCAAGCTATTTTACCAAAGTAATCGAAATGTAATTGAAAAGTAATCGATGATTACATCATAATTTTTGCTGTAATCGATTAAATTACGATTACATGTAATCGAAAATATCTTCGATTACAGATTACTGTCGATTACTGGAAAAAATGTAATCAATTACAATCGATTACGATTACAGATTACGATTACCCCATTCCTGATTACAGGCATATGTTTTCTGTAATAACATAGGTGTACTATGCATAATTGGCAAACTATGAATTGTTATACATGTATCTTTCCATAGTTTAGTATACATCAAGACAATAATAATATCAATAGAACTTGTATACATTTCAACAAAACAAATGATGTATATTGGCCCTTTGAAACATGTAACATACATATGTTATCACATTTCTTTGATTTTTTAGTCCACAATAACAAATGTATGTTATTTTTCTCAAATAACCCTATAGAGTTATATCCCTGACTGATAATACTTGAGTATATAAAAATAAACATGAAGAAAATAAATAGCAAACACCAGCTAAGGTCAACTTTGCCTGAGATCATTTGGACCTAATTTCTTAATAAGTTCTTTACTTATCAATAGAAAATTTAAGAAAAGTATGTTATTCTGCTCAAATCGGTGCTAGGGGCCGTCTAAATCTTGCAGTGAGGTGAGAGTTCTTTGCTCTATATTGAAGGCATCATTATGACTTTGAGATGAAGAACAGTAATAAAAGCTCTGTTCCTTTGCTTTTTGTGTTTTTTGCTGTGCAAATATTTGTTATGTCATGGATGGATTGTTGGAAGTAACACATAGACGTAACATTCTCGCTAGATACATGTACCCCATATCCTTTCTTTTCTATTATATAAATCATGGTAATTGCCAAGCATTGACTTCAGGCAATGAACAACTTAAGACCACTCAAGACTATATGATTACGTTGAAGAGCCAACTGTTCTGCATCAACGGCAGCGTTTCTTCATAAGAATAAATAGGGATGGGGGTTTTTGGACTTAACGGATGTGCGGTGTAATATTATAATATCCATCAGACATGTGTAACCGTACGGTACTATATCAAGAATTCATAGATACAATGAGATAAGCTTTCAAATCAAACCAAGAGCTATCACTAACCTATTTCATCAACCTTGTTTAAAAAATCATCAATTTCTTTCTGTGTGCCAATACCATCATTCGTCGCCATTTATCTATTTGTTTATATTAACAACCGTAGGCGTAGATTATTGGAAGATGAATGCTTCATTCGCTTTTTTCTAATTTATGTCTATTTCTTTCTTGAAAGTTTAGATTAATCTTTAAGTATAAGTGGACTAATTTCACAACGCTTGTTTCTATATTTTTTTTGGGCTGTCAGGAATTTCCAAAACCAACGCAGAGGCAAGTGGAATTCGTTCGATTTTTTCGATAATGATTGGAAAAGTCCCAAGATACACGAATGAAAATCAGCCGAGGTTGTTGAAGTGTTTTTAAAAACAATTTGTATATATGTATTTCAAAGCTTTCGTTGTACGTCGATCAAATAGTTTTGGTAACAACAACAGATAAAAAAAAATCAGAGGTGAAAATGTTTTGATCGGCTTTTGAAGAAAGTGGAAAATATTGCAAGAAACTTTATCTCACAAGCTCTTCAAGTTTTGCGATCCTTAACATAAAGAACAGACGACTTTGTCCCAGATACGAACTGAACGGTACAGTTTGAGTTTCTTGATAAAGTGATATATGACACAGACACTAATAATATGTATCAGGTTTGCCACAACCAGAATAATACATGTATTATTCTTAAGGAAACACATTTTTTTTTAGTTTTTAAATTAGCAGTGATTTTGCTAGCACTCGTCATTTACGAAAAGGTTTTCAAAATGACGAAAGTTTTTCTTTTAAATTGAAATATCTTTGAAAAGTGTAAAAATATTTTCGCTTAAAAATATTATAATTCTACCTGTCTTCATGTTTTTGACAAGTTTATGACCCTCATCTAATAACGTTTACAACAGGTGTTATAAGTTGTGATTACAGGTAATCCTCTTATCGCCATCGGATGGGTCACTAATCTGTTAATTAATAAACCTCATAAATTATTGAAATTTGTTATCGTAAGGTCCGAAATATCGTGAGCCTAAATCCATCAATTGGAAATACAACTTCAAAATACTGATGGATTCAGTCTAGGATTATGCCAGGCAATGGGCTAAACGCTCGAAAGAAGACGTAGATACTCTTTCCGAATGGATTAAGGCTGTGAGGTCGTTGATACAAATCCTAATTAAGAAACTAAATGGGCATATCAATACCCACGCTACGTCAATTTTTAAAGACCCAAATGTTGCAAAACACTTGTCCTACCTCTTTGACAAATATGTTGTTGTCCCCGCAGATAAAGCCCCAAACAACATCGTTTTTGTGTGTAAATATCATTACATAGACTGCTTGATAAATGAATTAGGTATTGACAATTCACTTGGAAACTCCTCATATACCCTCACGACACTTACCAAAGAGGAAATCCTGGATAATCATAGGTCTGTTCTATGTTCCTTTGGAATTTCAACCAAAGATGAAGAACTGGATCTTCCATCACTGTATTGGATACCTAAACTACATAAGTGTCCTTACAAACAACGGTATATTGCTGGGTCTTCCAAGTGCTCCACGAAACCTCTTTCTAAATTATTAACATCTATTTTATCAGCAATCAAAGCCGGGCTCCAAAGTTATTGTAAAACTGCCTATTCTAGAGGTGGCGTGAATCAGATGTGGATACTAAAAAATTCCAAAGATCTTTTAGAGTACATACAATCTAAGACTCTCTCATCTTGCAATAGTATTAAAACATTTGACTTTTCTACACTTTACACAAGTATTCCCCATTCCAAACTAAAAGACAAATTGAAAGAGTTGGTATTACTTTGTTTCATTAAAAAGAATGGCGAATGTAGATACAAGTATCTTGTCTTGGGGAGGGATAAATCCTACTTTGTAAAGAATCACTCTGATTCAAACAAAAAATTCTCTGAAACTGACATTATCAAGATGCTTGATTTCTTGATTGACAACATATTTGCTACGTTTGGAGGACGTGTTTTTCAACAGTCTGTCGGAATTCCAATGGGAACCAATTGTGCCCCTCTTCTTGCCGACTTGTTTCTTTATCAGGGATGGGCACGATTACTGACAAATGTAATCGATTAATAATCGATTACTTGAAGGATTTTTGTGTAATCGATTAATAATCGATTACTCTGATTTTTGTATGTAATCGATTGCAATCGATTACTTTAGCAAAAGTAATTACATTACTTTTCGATTACTGTCAATTACATGCTACAAAATTACAAATTAAATAAAGTAAGTTAAACACAAAGTCAATTATGTTGTTCAATGTATGTATAGTGGAAATTTTGAACTTTACAAAAATAGCATTTAAAGCATTGTTTCCAAATTTTATGTTGACAGTTGTTTTCTAGATGGAAGCTCTTACTGTCTAAGGATCCAAAATATTCAAAAATTCTAGAAATTTTGGTTTTCAATATGAATGATTGGTGATAAAGTTCTTGCAATGGCATCACATTGCATCAATCACTTTTTTTTATATTTTAGGTTATTATCTCCATATTTTTGCAAATTTTTGCTGTCATACTGACTAAAGTTAAGTTTTTTGTTTTTACTCATTATTAACAGCTATATTTGAATATAGTTCATTACAATGTTGAAAGTTTACTCTGAAAAAAAAACTATAAAAAAGTAGAATAATTAATTAGTTCAGCTAATTTTAGAGATGAAAATTTATGATTTGTAATTACATGCATGAATTAATCCTTTTGTTTTGACAACCTCCCTAATTACAGGCTATAATACTGCCAAATGGAGTACAATTATAACCTGGGGCAATATAATGTAAATCTCCTCTTAATTAGACATAATTGAAATCAAAACAAAGTCTTCATCTTATTGACTAGAAGTCTTTGTTCATCTGATTAGTAAAGACAAGAAGTTTGTTGAGAATTTTGTATTCTCATTTCAAAATTATAAACAATTTATATTTTTAGCGCAAAAATTGGATACATGTATCTCTATTTCTGAACAAGAATCTTAATGCATAGCCATTGGTTCATTGTCAAAAGGATTTCGTGTACTTTGTAATTTTTATGTCATAACATTATAATGAATGAAATGTTTATCTATTCTAAGCTAAAATTCCAACTATTATTGAAAATTATGCTTTAAGGAATTTTAATACAAATAAGCTTACTACTGCAATATAGTCATATTTTAACTTAAGACTTATTTCTTATTTAAATCTATTTTCTTTTTTTGATATAAAAGGTCTTAAATTATTGACCAGCAAGAAAAGTCATTTGTTTCAAAAGCTAGATATACAGTATAATTTGATAGATCTGGTTGAAGCAGCTGGAGCCAATAGATAGAAACAAGACATTTGATAAACTCTTAAGTCATATCAATACATTTTATTTTTATCTGTACTATAAAGTGATGAATACATACATACTTTCATATAAAATAGATTATATTTCATCAAGCTATTTTACCAAAGTAATCGAAATGTAATTGAAAAGTAATCGATGATTACATCATAATTTTTGCTGTAATCGATTAAATTACGATTACATGTAATCGAAAATATCTTCGATTACAGATTACTGTCGATTACTGGAAAAAATGTAATCAATTACAATCGATTACGATTACAGATTACGATTACCCCATCCCTGTTCTTTATTATTATGAGGCTGACTTCATACAGGAACTTCTTAGGAAGAAAGATAAGAAGTTAGCAATATCCTTTAACTCTACGTTCCGCTATATAGATGATGTTCTCTCACTAAATAATACAAAATTTGGTGACTATGTTGAACGAATCTATCCCATCGAACTAATGAAAAAGGATATTACAGATACAGTTAAGTCTGCCTCATATCTTGACTTACATCTAGAAATTGACAATGAGGGTCGGTTGAAAACAAAACTTTACAACAAAAGAGATGATTTCAGCTTCCCAATTGTGAACTTTCCATTTCTATGTAGCAACATTCCAGCAGCGCCTGCATACGGAGTATATATCTCCCAATTGATACGATATATCCGGGCTTGTGTTTCCTATCATGATTTCCTTGATAGAGGATTGCTGCTCACAAGGAAGCTATTAAATCAAGAGTTCCAAATGGTGAAGTTGAAGTCATCCCTTCGTAAATTTTACAGATGCCATCATGAGTTGATTGACTGTTATGGAATAACCGTTTCACAGATGATATCGGATATGTTCCTTATGTCGTAACTACAATACCCTCCCTTTTCATGAATGTGACTTACTGAATTAGACTATTTACCGGATTTGTAATAACATAAGCAACATGAAAATTTGCAGTTCGTTTATCATAGTTTCGTCATTTAAACAAAAAACGTTTTCCCTGCAGAAAGTTCGCATTTTAAGTTCAATATTTCTCAAACGATCACAATTAGCAGTTCGTTTGTCTTAGTTTCGTCATATGAACAAATTTTCGTCAATTCTGTATAGCTTTTAATCAAAAACTTTCAACAAATTCAATTAAAAAGAAACAGCTTTATTCAAAACGTTCAGAAATATTTCCACGAGTCAGACAGTTGCTTCCTTTACTATGTACTGCACATGCGTGAAAGTATTCTTACGAATTAGACATTAAAACGTAAAGTACGAAATCATTTAGTATCAAATAAACGAAGGAGACAAATATATTTCTTACTAACATGACTAAACAACTTGATTTAGAAGTATGATAATTTCCTGGCTTTTGTTATAAAAACCAATCCATAGATGAATCCGGATTCATTCTAAATTTATTATCCTCCTGTCACTTCCCGTTTTCATTTCTTTTAAAAATCGAAAGTAAACATGATCTATTCGAGATCTATTCTTGATTGATTTACAAAATAGTCATTAGAATCGTTCCAACAAGGATTTGTACAAATCCTTGGTTCCAAATTTATAGAAATGAATTCCAAATATCGATATAACCATTTTAGCAAGGACAAGGATAATGATTATGCAGTGAAATAGTCGTTACAGGTTCATTTATGCTGTGATTCTGGTTTAAAAAAAAAAGGAACCAAACTTTTTTTGATCAGGAATGTCCCCTGAAAATAACTGAAGTGAAATTGTAAACTAGAAATCCGGATCCTTATTTGATCTTATTATTTAAGCACCACATCTATCAAATTATGCAATAACTGCCTGAGCATGCCAAGTCCTTCAATGATGTATATTAGCTATATATCTTTGGTCCATTGCTTTTACCCAAAAAAAGGTTGATTTTCATTTCTCGCAAAAGTGACTAAAGCCCTCAAAATCCTAGCTGAAACCCTGTAAATGAGGCTTTGTTACTTGTGATAGAGGATGAATCCATAGTAAGTGACAGTTGTTACAAATGTACCTCTGAAAGAGAACGAAGTCCATTTTAAATAACATTTTGAATACTGTTTTTATACGACCGCAAAAAATTTTTGAGGTCGTATATTGGTATGACGTTGGCGTCGTCGTCGACGTCGTCCGGCGTCGTCGTCCGAATACACAATGGTTTTCGCACTCTTACTTTAGTTTAAGTGAATGGATCTCTATGAAATTTTACCATAAGGTTCAATACCACAATAGGAAGGTGGGGATTGATTTTGGGGGTTATGGTACCAACAGTTA